GATATGCATTCATTTTGAAACCAGTGACCATACTGGTGAAAATTATTCTGCCTTTTTTTTGTCTCCAAACAGCTTCTTTGGAAACATTTCTTTACACCATTGTGACCCATTAGAAAGAAGGTCTAAGTATACAATATTTTGGAAAAAGCAGTTGTAAAGGGTATAAAAAATTTACAATGTACTGAAGACTTCTCAGGCATCAGGGAGAAGAGAAAGAAAAGAAGAAAGTCCTTGCATTCCTTCTGAATAAAATTTAGCATTGAAACATAGCAGCTCAGAATGGCTCAAACCAAGGAATAGTGTAGACAAGATGACATTGAGGGATGCACATGAACTTTAGAAAAAGAATAATTAAATCATAGGCTGCAACATCATGGCAGACTGTGTCCTGAGGATGGATGCCTAACGACTTTTAGTTATTTTTATAAAGATAATCAATTAGACTTCATTGTTTTAAATGGATTTTAGGTCTCAAAGACAGTAAGTACTTGTATGATATTTATGAAAATCAAGTCCAAACTTGAAAAATCCCACATAAATTGCAGTTTTTCTGTGTTAATTCTTAAAAGATAATTCCAATGTAAATTATGGCTGTTCAGAGTAAAACTTGCATCTTTTGTTCTGAGCAGATAACCATATCCTTAGGTCATGGAGTTAGGGTTACAGTGAGTGCCCACTGTATGAATGTGAGGCACCAGCACACTCTTGGTGCACACGAAGCATGCCAGGCACTTGGGCTGCATTGGACCAGTGTGCCAAGTGTGGGCCCTTACCCCACGCTCACTCTGTTCTTCACTAGCAGGGCTGTAGCTGCAGCCCTGGATGCAGGTTTGGGCTACCCATGAAGGATGAGGAGAAACTGCAAGGATCCAGAGGAAAGATGCATATGCCTAAGGAGCAGAGTTCGAGACAGCAGTGCTTGTTTAACCTTTGAAAAGGAGTCCAAGGAGTTATCCTATACCTGTTCTACAACCTGCAGTGATGTTAAAAAGGTGTCTGAGCCATATTTTTCTTGATAGGGTGAGGTTCTCTGAAGGGAAAATGTCCAAAAGTAGCAGTTTGTGAGCTTCAGATAACACACTGGTGATGGGGTTGGGGAAAGTTTGTAAACCTTTTGCTGGAGTCCTTATAGATTGGAGTAGGTTGAATATTAATATAGGAAGTTATCAGCTAAATGAAGGTTGAATATTAATTACTGGAGGTCATCAGCCAAATGAAGCTATGGATAAACTTACTCAGCATTGCAAATACTTCTCTTTGAGAAGAGACTCACACTGGGGACCTTCAGAAGCCTGTTCCAGTCTGTGTGTAATCTGTCATTCTACAGACAGCTGTGAGCTGTCTTGTGTCCAAGGCAATGAGACAGAGTTTAGTCTCTTGAGCAGTTCCAGAAGCAGTGAATCAGAAATCAGTAAACTGGCAGTGGTGGATTACATCAGCCTGACATGCCATGGATCCCTTCCTGCCATGGAACAGTACAAGGAGAGCCGAGAAATGGAAACACAGCTGCCCTCCAATTTCTGCATCTCCCTATCGAGCTGGGGCATTTTATTGTGTTAAAAATCTCTATACCCTTATCCTGAGAATCTTCTGCTCATTAACACAATATTTTTGAACAGTATGGACTCCATATTTCAATGTAAAAACTTTTACATGAGCTACTGAATTAACCATGTAATGCTATATAAATAAACTCTATGGCAGAGATAGTTACAAAGATATCTTTCCTTCCTTCCAGTGTATATCTTCAAGTGATCTCTGTTCCTTGAAAATTCTGCAAAAAGTCCAGCACCCAAATATTTTTTGAATTGGAAACCAGAAACATTTCTGATTAGATTGCTTTGAATATTTCCTTTTGATCTTAAAACACTATTAGAAAAGTTCTTATTTTCAAAATTTCATGCTTCAAAATGATGCACTTTGAAATTCCAGGACTTTGAGACAACTTGAGGCTCACTTCAAGAGACGGTTGCTGGGCTATGTTAAAATAGTCTTCCTTTGTGAAAGTAAGAAAAACCTGTGCTGAGCATTAAAGCATCAAATTAACCTCCAGGTAGTTGCTCAGCTGAGTGACTCTGTGCTGAACTTGCAGGCTCAGGGTCACAAATGACACTCTCTGCTTTTCTAAAAACTATTTTTTAGTTCCTAGTATTTGCTGAGGACAAAATAAGAGCAATACAAGTGGTAAAACCTAAAAAGGTAGTGGAAAACAGAATACTCGATAAAATATTTTCCCTAGTGTTCATAAGGGGCATAATTGGAGATTCTTCTTCTTCTTCCTATTATTATTCCTGTTCTTATTCTTATTTTATAGTACACTGATTCAAGAAATTGGATACTGCTGAATTACTAATAAAGATGCCATATTAGGAATAAAAAAACCTAAGACTAACAGAATTATCTGACATATTTAATGACCCAATTTAGTCTTAAATTTTATAAAAGAGATTGCCACTATTGTAGTCTATATGAAGGGAATGCCATTTTTTGAGTTTTTAATATATGAGAACAAGTTTAAATCTTGAACTATATGTGACCCCAAATATCCAGCAGAGCTATCACTGCACTGGAGAAAAACAAAGTTAAAGCAAAGGAAAACAGATAAGAAGAAATGACAAGCCTGGCATGTCAAACTCAGGCAGGCTTAAAAATAAGAATAAAATCTACTTTCAGCACTACTGTTGAGGGGCAGGCTGTGAAATAAAAAGTTATCAATTGTTTACGAGTTCCTAAATCTATTCTGTTTTCTAGAGCAGACTCTCTTTTTTAGCGATTAACTAAAAATTGCACATTTTCCTGAGTCTCTCACAAAGAAAACTGTGACGCTGTCAGTGTTTTTCCTCACTCCACATGCTTGCCAGTGGAATATGGTAAGTAAAGACATACATGCATGGCTGCACAGACTCCCATTTGGATAAAAATCCCTTGGCAGCAAAGCCCAGTCATGCACAGGATGGAGGATCTACATTGCTCTGCTATAAATAAGGGTAAAGAAAAGCATCAGAAATTGGCCATCTGTTTGGCTGACCCAACAAGGCAGGTGGTCTTTCTAATCCATATGGTCAACTTCCTAATAACAAGAGTGTGGGCAGGACTCAGTCACCCTCTTTTAAAGCAAAGAAAAACAAAACATTACAGAAGCATTCTGGATGCCACTGAACCAAGATGTACAAATCTTATTGGCAGGCTTCTTTTTGAACAATTTTTTCACGTTTCTATTTTGAGGAAGTGCTGTGAGATCCAAGTACCTTTGGGTTTATAAGAGAGAAAGGGAGCGAGTGGTTAAATGGTGGACAGTCTCTGTCACAGAGGAAAGTGAAAAGGAGGATGCTTACTTTTGTTTGTGGGGCATACTGCAGAAAGAAACCAGAGAAGAGAAGTTCTTCATTTTTTAGATGTTTGAAGAAGTCAAGGAAGCATTTGACTTGAACCACCAAAGTTTATAGTTCCATCGATCACTTTTTAAAAGATAATCCTCTTGACCAAATCTGAATTTAGTTAAATCTCTCTAAAGAGATTTATTCTTTAAGATAAGATTTTACCACCAAAATGTTGTGATGTAAACTATAAAAGCTCACACATTTCTTTTAAAGGCCTTCAAAATAACTGCTGTTAATGCCACAATCTTATGTATTTTCATGATATGCCATTTATGGCACACACAAAAAAAATGTGCCTTTTTGCTGCTGGTCAAGCAAGGATTAGATTACACCATCTTCATTTTCTAAGGAAGCTCCCAGGCAAGCACCCACTGCTTATGGTGCATGCATTTTGTGCATATCAATATAGTACTCTGAGAAAAAAACAATGTAACTGTGATAGCCTAAAAACAATAAGCCTGTAGTGAGTGGAGTTCATGCAGTGCTGTTGAAGGCTGTAAGTGGCACAACATTTTAATTTAAAGATTGTATTCATCATACAGAAAACTTTATCAAGCATGAAGAGCATTCTGATTAATGCTCACCCAATTGTGCCTGCCTGTAATTCCTTGGCATCTGATGTCTGACAGCTAAATGCTTTTCCCAGTCTCATTCCAGTTTCACATACCTATGTCACAAAAAGTTCCACCATTCCTCAAAATTGCATGTTTCAAGAGAGTTATTAGCAGAAAGGCTGCAAATGATCACTTTTGAAAAACTAGATCTGTTTTATTCCTAAAGAAATCTAATGGAGGCACAACACTCATGTTAATTTGTAAGACCAAAACAATAATTGAAATTAAGTCCCCATCTCAAAGCATGTGTACACTACATCAAGCATCAAGTGTGGGTACACTACATAAATAATAATGTTAGTAGTGAGATATCATATTTTATTTTATCCATGCAGAATGCTTACTTAGGTGATTATTTTTTCTTTTAGGTAGGAAAGTAGTACATGAAAAGAAAAAAAATATAACTTTGAGAGAAAACTGGGGCTTCAGTCTGGTCTGATGTGATATCATCAGAGTTGCAAAAGATGAAGTGGAAGGAACACCTAGGTTCATAACTCAGCTTCTGGCTTTGGCTAATGACAGCTGCCCAGGAGAAACTAATAAACACAGTGCAAAGGTATAGCAGCACTTTTATGGAACACTCTCATGGCCTATAAATATCAGTGTCTCTTCAACCTGCAAAACACTTTTAATACAAAACTCTCCCTTACATTTTGTTACCCGTTTCTGTAACTGTACTAATTTCACCTTATTCTTTACTAAATGAAGGAGAACCTAACTGTACAAAGTTCTAAGGAAGAGAGTCTACCAAAGACCTCAGCGGAATCTGAAACTTAGCAAATACTGCTTGAAACTTAGCAGAAACAAATCCAGTTATTTTTGCTCTGCAGTCTAAAACCCATTGCACTCTTAAACATAATTTTATTTTCTTTGCTCATTATTTGCTTTCCTTAGATCATGGTCACCATAGACAGTAGAACCACTCCCCCAAATGTGCAGAATTATTGCTTCTTTATACTGAGTGGTTTTTGCAATTATAAAGCAATACAAGCAACATGTTACTCACTTGTATTTATCTTCTGAAGTGAAATGTGCTTTTCCAGGTGTCTACGAAGCTTTACCTCTGCTCCATATTTACCAGTAGTACCATTGTCAGCCAAAATAAAATGGGAATGCATGCTGTTGAGCACTGTCAGCTTGCTCATGGGATTGGACATTGTCTGGTATGGTCGGACCACCTGCATTTTAGAGACAGAGGAAAAAGAAGGTACACTTAACAGAAGAGCCTCTGAACTAAATCAATTACAAGATATGAGCTGACAAGATGAAACAAAAGAAAATAAAATCAAATTAAAGTACTGCACTTGAGTACTACTGTCTTTTGTGTATAAAGTAGAAAATGACCTCAACACTTCCCTTTCAGATGCAGACGTGGCTTAAAGGGTTTTCCATGGTAATCTGTTTCAATAGTATCAATGTTCACTGCTTCCTTTAAAATCCAGCTAATGCTCCAAAGGTCTGGGTGCCTACACACACACACTGTACACCCTGTCTGATGGTGACTATCTAGACAGCTGGTGTAAAATCTCACCTTGCTCTGAGCAAATTCTTTGATTTGTCCTTCACAGACCCCACCCAGCATCATGCCTCCAGTGCTGGCTCGTGCAGAACCACCAGCACAGGAGATACACAAATACAGGTGAGTTCCCCTCCTGGAGAGGTGTATACATGATATTATGTCCCATTTTCAATTTTCTTGGAAAAACTATTGGCCCACTCCTAGCATCAGTGAAAGGGCAGTTGTGTGTGTTGAAAACAGCTCTAAAAATTTTCTGTTCAATGGGGAGCTTGCTTCACTTCCTTTGATTTGACTTCATCAGGAGAAACTGTGCAGCAGACTGAGTAAATTGCCACAGAATTATCCCACTCATAGCTACCAGACAGACCAAATAATAGCACGGGGCCACATTTGGCTGTCAGCTGCTTTGGTGGGTGTCTATTGACATAAGCAAGACTGTGCTAACACAGCAAAAGAATTGGTGTCGTGTCAAGGCATTCTGACTGATACTTCAAAGGTTTTCTAGCAATACTATTCCTTGCCTTTCTTATGTATGTCTTGTCCTTTTGGAGAGACAAAACAGAAAATCCCTAAAATGAAGTCCTAGCTGAAGAAGTGATATTAGGACTTGTTAGAAAACTCAGCTGAGCTATCCTTCATTTGCAAGGAATTTTCTTCAGACTTCTGATATCATTAAGTTTTCAGATCTAGTGCTTTTAATGCACAAATATGTACACTCAAAATCCGACATAGATGCTTGCAGACAGAAATATAATAGGTTACTGATTTATTCCTAAGCTTTTCTCTCTCTGTAATTCTAAAGACATCTCCAGTTGAGACACAATTCTTTAAAAATAATATGTATTAGCAATTCTTTCGCCAGAGATCTCTCTATATATATTATTTTCATTTGCAAATGTCTGTCTAATTTTGATCAACTCTTAGCCAGCAAGGAGAAATACACAAACTTCTTTAGCTGTTATAAAACGTCATGTAAAGGGTACTCTGTAAGCTCTTTGTCCTGCAAAAGGAGGGAATAGGTCTGAGAAGACCTGGAGGGCAGCTGGCCAACAGCAAGGGAGTGCACTACACTCTGTGAGAACAGGTGATAGCTCTGGCTCAGATTTTTCAAATGCTGTTTCTTTAGGTAACTCATTCATAGCAATTTATTCTACAGCTGCATATGAGTCAAAAAATATCAGTACACTGCTGGAATGTGTTTAATAGCTAGCTTCTACAGATACAGAAACCATGTAGCACATGGCACTGTCAGAAAGAGAAGGAAGGTTCTTTCTCGCATCCCTAAGAATCAAATAAAATCAAATTAAAACAGTGCAAATTTTCTACACTGTTATCTACCCCATGTCTCAATAAATGGACACCAGCAAGGCCTTACAGAAGAGGAGTCCCTTGAGTTGCCCATTCATTGTATGAGTACAGGCCACCCTGCAGAAAATTCTCCTGGCAGCTTGTGGTTTGTTCCTGAGAGCCACAGCTAAAAACCTTCTAACTGTGACATCTCGATCTGCAGCTCTAATGAGCTGCAGTACTGAAGCCTTCGTATATTGGCTCAGTAATGCTGCTGCAGGACAGATTAGGAAGCTATGCTTTTGTTCTGCGCTTAGGTACAAGGTGAGTTAATTATTAATAAATTTAATGGATGTGAAAATGAGACTACAATTATTTTCAATTGAACTGTTCACAGCATGCACAATTCAACATCTGAATTATTTTTTTTTTAAATAAATTTTTCTTAAACCACACTGTGAGACTTTTCCTGAGAAAAGGGTAAACAAAATCCTCAGGAAGTAAGAACACACTAGGCTTTGAGGCTACTTCCTTGAGGTTACTTGCTCTTCCACAACACTCAGCAAATTTGTGATTTCTGACTCTTGCAGTTTCCATTCCTCTGGTTTTTTTTCAATCCCTTGCATTTTACAAGCAATTTAAATAGTTGGAAAAAGTTATGACTTTAAGCTGTGCTCTCAGCCTCTTTTTACAGATATAGAATTGCATGACAGTTTGGGCTGGAAGTGACCTTAAAGACTGCTTACCATGGGCAGGGACACCTCCCACTAGACCAGATTGCTTAAAGTTCCATCCAACCTTGCAACAAGAATAGGGAGAATAGGGAATAATGTTCCTTGACATCTTCCTCTGTGGAGTTGAAAGGAATAGTTTGTGCTCAAGACAGTCCCTCCAAATAGTGTTTAATGAATGTGACAGCAGCCATGCCATGAAGCAGTATTCATGCTGCATGGGCTGAGGGAATTCTGCCAATAGGTAAGTGGCTGGGCTGACCCCAGCCTTTGCCTTTGCACCCTGAGGTGGCAGCGAGCTTGAATGAGAAGCATTGCTGTTCTCCTTAGATTCCCTGCAGGCATATGACACTCAACATAGAAACTTGAAAAATCTCTCAGGGTAACTCACCATGACAACGAGCCTGCAAGTGCCATGTGAACCAGTGCATGAATCTGAGCAGTCTATGTGGAGGCAAAGAGTTTGTGACAAACTGTGAGCTCAAAGTAGTGATGGAAAAAGAAAGAGATGCATGCCTTGCTTCCCAAGGAGTAGCAGCTGTTGTTCAAATCAAGCCATTTCTGCAGCCTTGTTCCTCTGGAGCATACCAGGGAACGGAGCAGTTCCTGATTTAATGCAGAGGTTCCTGGACCTTTTGGTTCATGCTCAAAAATTCTCCACATATGCTACAAATATGCCAGATCTTTGCCCCTGGTCTCCTACTGAGGTGACTTGGAATTAAACCCAAATGAGGACTAAACAGACCCTGAAAATAGAGACATTCATACTACAATGACTTACAAAGTGAACTCTTTTAGAAGGGAGAATGGTTCAATGTGTAGGAAGAAACTTGTTTATAATCACGGTTTTCTACAAGACTGAGCAAGCCACTTTGCTTTCTCAGTTTTATCGGAAGATATGGGGAAATAAGGCAACTAACTCCCTTGTGTCCTTTGTTTCTAAATTAGAATCTTAGAGTGTTAAGAATTGCACTATTTTCTGGTATATTGCTTTCACAGTACTGGAGTAAGACATGTGTCTTTAGGGATCTTTAAACATCACAATATAACAAACAGCAAACAGCAATAATATTTCCTTTAACTTGGTCAGTTTTCTTTATGGCTCTGAGGAAGTCCCCCAGGATTCCCAAAGGCTGACTGACTTGGAAGGGCTGGTAAACACAATTAAAGCCCTCGGCTCTGGCTCCTGGATCCGTAAGGCTGAGGCACTAGCAGAGGAGCACCTCTGCTGACTCACCTCCCTTGCCGTGAGCCACAGGGAGGCCACACGTGCTGGGGCACCTGCAGTGACCACTGCTCCCCATCTGCACCCCCTGGCCCTCCAAAACCCATGACCACAACAGCCTTCTGCCTCTATCTGATGCTGGAAGGGTATGTTTTCATAACTCTTCAGTTCTGATCATAATTTAACTAGACATAGTGCATATAGGCATAAATCCACATTGATGCCAGAGTTCACCAAGTCTTTTACTACTGGTAGACTTTTCCCCCCCCTTGTATAATCCTTTGTGGCCTTTGTTTCTTGCTTAATGATGATTCATTTTACATGCTGAGGGTACTATTTACATTTCCCCTTCTCGGTTCATTTCACAGCATTCACCTCTAATGAGCCAGTCAATACAGCACACTTTGATTTTTAAAAAGCTTCCAAAACAGCTTCCTCACCAAATGCTTCTAAAGAAACTGCATGCATTCAATAAGAGAGAAAGTCCTTTGAGGTATAAGTAACTGAGGAAAGCTGGGGGGAAGCGTGGGAAAACAGTGAGAAGGAAAAGGTAATTTTTCCGAAGGCTCTTACTAAGAAGATTTAGTGACATAAATGGCCTACCTCAAGCTGTGTAATATTCTGTTTGACATAGGTGTAAGGGATTTGTGATTGATAAGAAGGGTGAAAAGCTTACAAATATTTCAGTGGACTAATGTCTTCATAAAACAGGTTGATGAGGTAATTAAATGGAAGATGAAATTTTATATCAGTAAGCATAAAGCAGTATCATTACATGTGCATCAGAGATGGATAAAACCAGAAGTGCTTTAGCATTACATCATGCCATTGATGAATAATTTCATAAAACTATTTCGGCCAGGAGGTTGAGAGAATAAATTTTATGTTGTCTATCAAAGGTAGAGTTTGAAATATTTTTGTCTTAGTGATGACCCTGTAATTGTAACCCTACTGACATACTTGTGTCTGCCTTAATAGAAAACCCTACTCAAATTAGTTCTAACTTTATATTAAACTTTTTTCATTTTGTATCTGATGATCAGAGTAAGTTTTAAGTCTTTTATGATGTAATCAGAAAGGCTTTTTAAAAAAAAAGTTGTTTATTTTAAAATAAAATTACCGTAAAACTTATTGGTTTCCTGATAAATTGGAAGGATATTTAGTGGAATGCATTGCTTAAAGAACTCAGAGGTCAGGGGAGTTGCTCCACTTGGCTGGAACATCTGGGAAATCAAGGGTTTTTTTAGCTTTTTCTGCAAAAGAAGGCTCCAGATCCCTTTAAACAGGCAGTGACTGCCTCAGAACTGAGGTAAGTTTGCAACAGGAGGAAAAAAGTAATAAAGGAATAGAAATGTTTGAAAATTCATGGCTAATTTTAGGTTTTTCTTAACTTTGTTCCTGTTATGTATCCAGAACCCCATGCCTAATCACTAAAGACTATATATTTGAAAATGATGTGTACATTACACTTCTTTAAGGAGATACAACACATCCTTGTGATTATCTTTTTTTGCTAATTGCCTTCTGCACTGCACCTCAGAAGAGCTCATTGGTGACTCAGAATTACTGTGGCAAAGTCTGATCATGCTTTTTTTTGTGGTATTAGAGCACAAAACTCCATGCTAATACACTTCCCCCTAAGAGTTTTACTTTCATAATGGATTGCAAAAAATTCCAGTTGGATAATTTTCTTTATAACTTCATTGTAACTCCCCTGACTTAAGAGACACTTGAATCTTCTTCCCCTTCCCAACTTGGACATGGATACAGAACACACAGAGAAGAATGTTTTACGCTAATGAAGACTAGGAGGAAGTTCTTCATGCAGATTTAAAACTCCTCCACTCACAGTTAGTCACTAGTTCTCAGACAGATTTCTTAGGAATGAACCAGAAGAGGGAACAAAATAGTTTCAGAAAAGTTTCAGATAACAAATAACCAGTGCAGACGAACTATTCATTCATTTAAAAATTGAGGAGTTAATCTTACTGTATTACAATTTTAAAAGAGAAGAATGGTGTGAAAGGAGAAACACCTGGCCCCGTCCTTCAGAAAGTGGCTAAAGCTGAATAATTTGAGGTCGCTCTTATCTACAACACCCAATAGGACCTTTCAAAATTACATCAATAAAAATTTGTGGAGGGAATATATTCTAAGGAGGATAGCCTGAAATTTTGAATTTGAATTGAAACCAAGGAATTATAGTATTGTTTGAAAATAAGCCAGATTTCAAGTTTTGCAATCAGTATTCTCTTAAGCACCTTTCTGGGTTCATAGAGTTCTAAGGATGAAGCTTTGATATATTTTTAAGAACAGCTTTTAATGAATTGCCCTGATAATTTATTTTTAAATAACATACAGTAGAGAATTTTTAATGCTGCCATGGCAAAACCTGCCATCAACCCTAATGGAAAATCTGTGTACATATTGACTTTTTGCTGCAGATAAGATTTCTAAGAGAAATTGCTAAGTGAGGGATGGAGAGGACAGAAAAATAACTGGAAGATTTATAGATATTGGAGGTCATCCATGTCTATATAGGTCTTACATCTTTGCCAATCAGATCCTCTTGGTTTTCCACAATCCCCCAGGGAGCTATACCGATGGTGCAGATCTTCCCTCGAGATTTTGAGGCATGATCTTTCAGGGCATCTCCAACATGCCGAATGACCCCTGGCAAAGAAGGAGCATAAAACAGAAATTCATAATTATGTCTTTTTCGTTCATTATCATAAGGATTTTGTATAGACCTGTTTTTTTAGGGAATACCTGTGCCTATTGTTACAATTAAGTAAAACTATAAATACAGTCCTATTTCTTAGTATTAATTTCCTTGAATCTATTTTATTGAATCCAAAAATTACTAAATGAGGTAATAGGAAAAAATACACAGCTTTAGAAAGAAGAATGGAAATGCTGACTGTTCACTGCCGCTTCTTTGTCTGCACTTGTGCTCACATGTGCATGCAAGCATTTGTGTATTTCCAGGCACAGAAAGAAGCATAGGAATTAATTGTGCTCCCCGCCCCCCACCCCCCAACTCCCTCAGAAGTGCAGCTCATACACAAAGGCTCCCAATCAAGGATGGAAATGTGAAAACATCATTATGCTACTCTGTGATGAAGCTATTCTGCCACTCTTTCCAAACAAACTCAGTCACCTGAGATAGCTTCCAGCAGAGTATTAGTACCCACCCTGGCAATCAGTGAAAAAACAGAAATTAGTACAGAGAGAATGGCTACTTCCCAGCATTCTTCCAAGGGCTTCTTGCTTACCCTAGACCAGCTTTGGCAGTGTTTCAGTGGTATCTCTGTGCAAAGGACAAGTGTCATTTCTCCTTTTTTTAAAATTAAATAATCTTTTAAATTATTAATTTAAATATTTTTAATTATTAATATAATCTATCTATTAACAACTATTTTTAGAATGTGGCTGCACTGAAGCAGACCTGTGGGTTTGCTGCAGATGGTATCTGATTTTCAATTGCAGAGTTTCTATGTTGTTTAAATTTCACTATTTCAAGATGACCAGATAGAAATTACACTCACACAATTGTTAGGATTTTGGTTTTAGTTTTCTGAACTGTAAATGACTGTAAATGTAAGAAAACTCCCCACAACCTAACACATCCCCTGTGTGCTTGAGTCTAGTATTATTCCTGTGGTGGAAGGTTAAAAAGTCCCAACCCTGGACCTGCCATCAGCTATGAACTAAGCTGTTATCCAACAGCCTAAAGGATTTAAAGCAGAAAATCTGCCCAGACTGCAAAATTTTATCTTGTTTAGAATAATCAATTTTCAGCATGACGTGAATATTCAGAACAACAGTCATGTTTATAGCCAGGTATGCTCTGTCTCTCCTATGTAACTGATTCTCAGTCCAACAGCAGTATTTCAGCACATTTCAGTTATAATTTTCATTAAGAGAAACTCAATTTTAATATTCATCTTCAACAAAAGAGACTGTACCAAGAAATTCTCAGTTTTTATGATTTCACAAATAATTTTCAGCTATGCAGTTTGAAAACCTAGTCATTAAGCAATCAACTGCTTTCCTCCAGAAATTAAAGACAACAATGAGAGATTACTGACATTGAAAAATTTCTTTTTAAATTGTTTGTTTTTAAAACAGCAGAGAGACACTTGAACTACATTGTTTTGTCTAGGAAAAACAGTCCTTTCTAACAGCATTTATGATGACTTTCCTGGTTCATTTGTAAAGTTTTGGCATTTGCAAATGTGAGGACTTGAAAAATGGTAGGAAGCAGTTATGCATTTGCCAAGTACAAGTGTTATCATCTGTCCTTTTTTAAAAAAAATCTATATTTTGATTTCTACAGTTGCTCTGGTAATCAACTGCATTAAGTGTACGACACGTACACTTTTCTGATGTTATTTTAACATAGAGCTTACATCTATCTTTGCCATCACCATGACAAGAGTGTCTGACAACTAATATAATTACCACTAGATTGCACAGATCAAATTTAATCTGATTTTATTCTTTATTTTAAAGAGATATGAGGCATATTACATTTGTGTCTATTTCTCTAACACTCCAAAAGCTATGCCTCTTTGCTTTCTTCAGGCACCAAGCCTGCCAGAATTCAAAAATTCTTTGGACAACATTCACAGACACATGGTGTGATTCCTGGGGCTGTCCTGTGCAGGGCCAGGAGCTGGACTCTTTGGTCCTTGTTGGTTGCTTCCAACTCAACATATTCTATGATTCTGTGCTACTTGTAGTGCTGCTGTGATAAAACTGAGTACTGCTTTAAATTTGATGTGCTCTGAAAACCAAGTCCAAGACTCCTATTAAGCATTTATATTCAAACATGTAGGAGTTGATCCACCATGCACTAAAATTAACGATAGAATGATTACATTGTTTTTCAGAGACAGTAAGAAGATACACTCTTACTAAGTAAAAATTATAGCTTTGTTACTGCAGCAAAGGAGAATGACAAAAGAATTTACAAGTTCATGTCCTAGCTCAAAACCTTTTGCAATTCTCTGTAGCAGAACTTTTTTGACTTTTCCCCAAATCTCTCCCCCTTTCTGCCTCCTCCAGGGAGGGTAACTGAGATGTCAATGCCACAATTTTCTGTCTAGGGATCTATGTTTTGCAGCTTATTCCCAAAGTGTACATGCTGTCTACTCGCAGTGCTGGGCCAGCTGCTGTCTTGGGTCCCTAGGACATGTGTTTGGTGTATCACAGATGCTCTTTGACTAGAAATGGCAGATATAGCTCTTGACAAAAATGTAATAGCAAAAAATTAGGTTGAACTCTCTACAAGTAAGGAAGAAGTTTCCCACCACATCCAAAACGCAGAACTTTTTTCCTTTAATACTTTGGGTCACCTGACTAAATAAAATAAATGTCCTTTCTGGATGAAAGTGTTTCCGGTTTTGTGTAATAAGAGCTCGACTTTGACTAGTAGTCCTTCCATGCAGCTTACAGCTGACCTTATAAAAGTCTTCCTTGGTGATATACTAATACAATTGCCTTGCAGAAGGTTTTATTTTCAGCTCCAAAGTGTGCTTTTCATACTTTAGTGAACCTTTTATTCTGTTTTATACCTACCAGCTGCCAGTTTGGTATGAACTTCGCATTTTCTTGTTTTCAGATAGTACAGAAATTACTAATAAAAATAAAACATAGAATGGCTTTCTAATGTCATAATTCCTACTTTCCCCACCTTTTTTTGTGATGAAGTCTCTTAGATGCCACTGTGCTTTTTTTTCAATGTTGCTCTTACCTGTGTTTACTCCTCCAGTGAATATCCATGCTCCAGTTGTCATTGCAGCCTTAATAAGTCCTTTTCCAAAGACCTGTTTGAGTTTTGGCTGAAGTTCAAAATTCTGAAGGCCCCCGTGCACAGAGATGAGAAGTTTGGGGAGCTCAAGTTGCCACTCTTTGGTCATCAAATGCAGAAGAAGGTCAGGCTTTGTGTCAAAAGACACACGTACATACTGCAGGAACAAGGGCAACAGTAGAGAGTAGAGAAAAGAAGATTGGTTATACCCACTGGTTTCTAATGTATATTATCTGTGGCCAAGAGACCACAAAACCAGTAACTATTTGCTAACCCGATGATTCGTTTCCTAGTTGAGAAACAAGGAATAATGGAACACTTGCACTTCACAGGCTAGACAATTTTCTTTGTTTAGGAAATTAAGAAATTAATTGTTTTAAAATCCTTAGTAGTGTTTGAAAGATTAATGTTTACAATTTATAAATGCAAAAGCTGGACCAAAAATATAAGAGGTCTGTCAAAGGGGACCTAGGTAGTCAGGGTCACAACTGTGTATTAACTTACACCTCATTTTCAAATTACTGAAGTCAAACCCTCAAAAGGTAAGAAATAATGGATAAAACCCCATTGTTCAAGCACACATAGGGTTAAACTGGGCAAAACTACCAAACTGATACTTTCCAGATGAAAGAATGCTAACTATGTACAATTTCATGATCTTGCCTTAGAAAACTCTAGATCCTAAAGGAGCTGTGAAACAAATTTTTGCATTTCCAGTTGCTGGCTGTTCTGTGCTACACATGCAGCAATTTGTGCCAGGGGAGACCATACCCATCTGTGTGTGCTCAAAGATAACAACTGCATTCAAAATTCTTACAGCACTATTGTATCACACAAATACATGTCTCTCTCTGTTACAAGCCTTTCTCCTACTCTTTCTGTTGCTGTTTCACAAAGCCCATGACAGGGCACGTAATAATTTTTTGATTTCTGGTTACATAGCAAAAACGGGAAAAATTCTTTCTATATTTGCTAAGATCTGGAAGACCCTCTTAATAAAATAAAATAGGTTGCAGAAAGCACTCACTCGTCTGTCAAACTTCTGATTGAATCAATACCTATAGAGCAGCTTCAGCAGTCTTTCCCTTGATGGGTTGTCAGCACAGGCATCAGGTGCATGCCTTGGCCTTCAGCCTGTGGAATAACTTGTCCTAATTTGTTTAATGCAACATGCCAGGTAGTATAATATCCGTACATATTTTGTAATAATTTTGTCCCTTTTTGACACATCTAATCAGTATTTCTTGCCAAAAGTTCATGATCTTTTAGCAAGAAAAATAAAAATAATAATAAAAAACATATGATAGTAAAGTGGTTTCCTTTCTAGTTGATTAAGAAATAAGGACCTGACATTTTCCAGAGGAAACTACTAATAAACAGTATTTTTTGCAAGAATGGGTTGTTGCACAGTAAACATCTACTGGTAACATTTCTGGAAGCAGAAGCCTGTTTGCACAATTAGTTGCTGGGGGGTGCAGCCAAACTGAAAGCTGATTAAGAACTTGGGAATGCACATTCACCCCAGTGCACCAATAATGTTCTCTGCAGCAGCCAAGGAAACCCACAACAGCTACTGGGCATAAAAACACAGTGTTCATGTCTGTCAAGCTCATTAATATAGATGAACTGCCTCCTCGGTAGCTACTCAGTCAATTTCCAGTGTGAAATAAAATCTTGTATGGCACCTGATCCCACTGACTAGACTGAGACATTAAAAGTTTTCAAATTGGGATTTTAGAGTTGTCAAAGTTTTAACACACCAGAGAGTGTGGAATAAGAAGAATGATCCTTTTTCCCCTTTTCATGTCTTAAGGGAGATGTGAGGCTGCAAAGGGCACCTGGAGGCGTTCACAGACAGCATCCTTCATGGGGCCAACATGAAAACTCTGTTGGTCAAACTACAGAGCCTCTGGTTTGGAATCACTGGTACCTCACCCTGCTTTGTGGTGAAGACAGACTGCAAGTCTTCAGAAGATTAAGGTGAATTCATACTGGCAATGACCATATGTTGAAAATATGTTCAAAACATGCCATTGCATCATCTGGGATGATGCTAAGATGAAGGCACAAAGGGCATCAGATGTGTATTAACTAATCTGGACAGTGACTACTTTTTTCTTCGTTTTTTTATTCTTTAGATTTTTAAAAAAATACCTCAGAATGTGTGATTTCACTGACCCTACCTTCTTAAGTCTGTGTGTTACTCTTCTTATACATGAAGACCTCTGAATTCCAATAAATATAAATCTATAAAGTGATTACAAAAGAAGTATTTTCTTACATTTATTTGAAATGTAGACAATTTGTATTAGAAGCAACTGCTTGCTTTTTATACTACAAGAAAATCCCCTTTACATTTAGTATAATTTTACTTTACAAAGTGGAAATTTAATGAAAAATAAATATCTAAGGTTCTTTCATGTAAATTAAAATTTAAATCAAGTAAGATAAGATTTAGTGGTTTAGAAGTTTTTGGTAAGGATGCCAAACATGATTTTTCTGTTGCGCATAGCATTCAATTTTTATGGCTATTTGAAAAATTTTTCTCTTAGAGAAGGAATTTTTAGTTTGGCATACTTGAATTTACTCTTTTGCCATTACTTAATAGGTTAGCTAGTAAGTAAAAGAGAATTCTTCTGTCCTATTTTTAAAAGTTTACATTAAGTTATAAATCACACCTTTAAGGCCACTTTATCCTGTAACAAAAATTCTTGTCTTCCAATCTTGTAATAGAATATTTATCGCTATCATATTTTGCTTAGAATGTTAATGAGTATTTCTTTGGTTTCTGAATTCTCTTGCTATAGCCTCTGGAGGTTACAACTTGATATAAAGATACAAAATTTGAATCTGAGCCAAACCACTATGCTGTTGTGCTATGAAATTCCATGCCTGGGGTATCTGTCAGCTGTAGAAATTACCAGTTCTAATGGGGAATGATTTAGCCCTTTCTTTATGGGAGAAGTATATGGACAGGATGCAAGAATTCAGTTTGTATGTGTTGGCAAATCAGAGCAAGTTAGGAAGCAAAAGTACAGTGTTGGGAAATTTAGGAGACTAGAGAATGGAAAAGTACAAAGCCGTGGCTAATTCCAAGTCCTGCACCTGTGAGATAGCGTGTCCTTGGGCCTAGCTGTAGTAGGATAACAAACAGTGAAAGAGACATGAGAAAAGAGAGATGTAACCCCTAAGGAATGAGGATGAGTTCATGGTATAGTTTAACCAATAGATTGCTTGGCTTACAGAATATTCATAAGCTTATTATTTGCTGTATAAGTGTTTGATACTTTTTTCAATAAACTGGACCTGTGATGAACCAGCTGGTGTCCTGGTCCCCTTCCTACGACAGTACAGTTCTGAATCACAAAACCTACAGACTGGCCTGACTGGCATCAACACAGAACGTGAAAGGACAAAGCATCACACTTGAGCTGCAAGGCCCATTTCATCCCAGACCAGCATGGTGGTAGTCAGCAAGGGTGCATTTCACTTTTTTTGTCAAGTGTTCTCTAAAACAAACCTATGCCCACCAACCAGTCAAAAGGCCAGACACTTCCAATTTCGACTCCAGTGCTCTAGGGCAAAAGTCAAAGCTCCTGAGAAAGAGAATTACTACTCTGTTACTTAAGCACAGCTGTCTCATTAAAGTACTTGGTGAATGATTGCAGATGAGAGCATCAGTGAATAAATTAAAGACACTCAGAATTTGTTGTATTTCTGAAAGTAAATCTATTCAGACAACATTCTGTGATCTGAATTCTAACATTGCTCCTATGTTTCTTTTTGGTAACTTAAGTTTCTACCACTACAGATTTGCCTTCAAATTAAAGACTGGTTGCCCACCACTTGCCCCAAAAGTGTGATCCTCACAAAAAAAAAAAAAAAAAAAAAAAATTAGATGCAATTCTCACTGAATTAAACAAAAACTCTGCTGCTTAGACTGAAACCAAATTGGTTCTGTACAAGTTATTAAGTTAATTCCTCTTACACCTTAAGGCCTAATCCTAGTTCCACTAAACAATCAGTGAAAGGACCCTCATTGATTTAAATGGACTTTGGATAAAGGTTTTTCTGTGTGATTTCCCCTTTTTCTCCATGTAGAACACCATCTTTTAAATTTTGTAAATATTTTTTAAGAAGTAATTTACTATAACAGAAACAATATTTGCTGTTTTTTCATGGTTTATGCAAGTTATATGATTATCTTTTTTTTCTTCTCAAAAGCCCTGATGACTTTTGGCATCCTTTTAATACAGTTTTTATAAAACTCAATGCATTTTAAACCAAGAAAAATACCTTTTCCTTGACTGACTTCCAAATAATAAAGTTTTAAGGATCTGAATATTAGCAACTTTGGTTAAGGAACTGTTAATGTTGGAATCCTACTGATGCTTTTTCATGTTTCCTTACACTATAAGAGAAAGCAGATAACACTGAAGTAAACTTCCTTTCTTTTGCAGCTGCAAACTTATTTTAGGATTTTACTCTGCATATGAAATGTATAATTGAAATGCATTCAGTGAGGAGGAATCTATTTAACTCACCAAAGGCTTTTCAAACAGCCATCTTCCATTTAACCCTGAAAAACCATGAGGAAATTTTAGTTCTGCAAAGAGCAATCCTTTAAAGAAGTTTATAGACGATCCAGGCCCAGCAGTTAATGAGAGAACATTAAGGGTGTGTGTGTGTGCGTCTAAAGGCAGATAGTGTATTATAAAAAATGGGTTTAGTTTGCTCAAAACTGCAGTGCACAATGCATCTCTGCAAGATTGTCTAAATTGGTACAGTGATGAACAGAACACATTTTCAAATTTTTCAGAATATTGCCCTTAACTGGAATGGAATCACTCACATGAGTTTGATAATTGCTTTCTGATTTAATAAAATGCTAGTATAAAGTTAGATAAGTGTGTTACTTAAGCTGCAAAGAGCTGACTAGCATAAGCAGATAATATTTTATTAGCTTTCCTGTATTTTTCTCAATTTTATTAGCAAAACGTATTAATAAAATTTATGTACATCCACATGCCTCTCACATCTTCTTACAGTTGTTAAATTTGAAAATCTGCTATAAAACTAAAATAATTGCAGACAAGCAAAATTGTTAATTGCATTTCTTACATATTAATGGGATGAGTCACTTGTAAAGAAAATATGAGATTGACAGAGATCTAAATACCACAGTCTTGTTGCAGGATCATCTGTGGTTGCATGAAATGGAAGGAAAGGCCTTTTTAGTAATTGATCTTGTTAACCAGTGTTACCTAACCTCACCTATGTGTTTCTATATAATATCCTGCACAAATTATTGAGCTATTTGTATGATTGATTTAAGAAGGATAATGGAGCTGCACTGAAGATACTTTAACAACTCCATGGCATTAGCAAAAGTCATTCTGTTAGGGAATTTTTGTTCCGCGCGGCTGTGGAAATGAAATTAATGGCTCAGTAAGTTCTATTTACAATATGTAAACCTATATCTTTGTTGTTTTGTTCCAAATCCACATGTCCTGTTAGAATTTCAATATAATTTTCATTTCCACAGCTAAAGATCTGTTTGTTGTTGTCTGGTGGCAACTGATATAATATTTTATTATGGAAAGTATTATTACACTTGCTATATATTTTGTATTAAAATCTAATTCTGTTACTTCAAATTGAGAAAACAATTATCTGTCAGTTTTACATTGAACTAGTCTGTTCCATTAGTTGACTCCTGGTTTCCAAATTATAAATCTAAGGTTATGGTTCCTGTTAACAAACCCCACCCAATTCTCTGAAGTCCAATTCAGAACAATTTAACAGTTTTGCTGTTAGCACAGACCCAGAAAATACTGCTCAGTTCGGTGTTTCCTTAGCTTAGTGATTTTCATGTGTGGGCATCCATTTCAGGAAATAAAATAGGGAATAGGTGGAAAATTTAATGCCAATTTTTTCCCTTGAGGATTTTCTTGATTTTGCCAGCTTGCCAAATCTTGCTGCTTTGTAAGGTTATTTTATTAGCCAATAGGTAAAATATAAACTTACCATGATTGCCAGCAAAAACCAGCTGGCATGCTATAGCGTTATTTGATAGCCAGTATGAAAAACCATTTTTATAAATATTTATCATGTTTTCTCCCCTTTATCTGTCTTCCCTTATCTACACTGATCAGATTCTCTACATTTGGGTTTGAGAATGCACAGCTGAGCAAGAATACTTCCAGTAGCTACCATGTACTCGCTCCTTTTTTTTCAAGCCTTATTTTATCAATAAGCCTACTTTTTCCCTCCTCTGCTGAAAAAGTTGGTGGTTTCCTTTGGTCGATCAAATTCTTGTCTTCCACAGAAACCTTTGGATTTTTAAAATTTTATTATTTGTTAAATTTTATTATTTTATTTTGGGAAAATCCTAGTACCCAGTAAATGCAAAGGTAGGAGTTTAACTTTCTATTAATAAAACAGCAAAAGTAGTTAGGCAACTTTTTGACCATAGTGTACCCTAAAACAATGTTTGGGCATGGAAATATGAACACAAGGACATCTTCATGTTGCTTCTGTGGCAAACACATTATAACAAAATTATTTTATCCATTTCCATTTAAATTGTTATGCAAGCCTCCTTATTTGTGTTTTGGTCTTATGTAAGGCATTTTCCTCACTGGTGGAAAGCAATCACAAAACTCATTTGAGAGATATTTACTGGATTGTTTAATTTGAAGCACTTTTCCCACCAGTGGAATAATCAAATTTCAGGAGATTCTATAGGCTTTTTTTAATGAATGGAGAATGTGTTTTATTCCCATGTTTTAGGTGGGGTTTAATGATTACAAATAGATGGCATGTGCAGCTTCTTGATTCTATTTATTCTGACAAAATAAATCTGGAGAATTTATTCTGACACAATAAATCTGGAGAATTTCCAGCAATAAATGCATTGTCTTTATCCCTAAGTTTTAAATTGTTATTTAGTTTTCTGGGAGTTTAAGTCTCTTTTTCCATTTTCTTTTTTTCTTTTTTCTAAATTGTTCATGGTTTCACTCCTGACTGCACTCTGTGACAATGATTTTCTTTCCCTTTTGCTGACTTCCAGTTTTATCTCCTCAGTTGCACTTCAACTGTACTTCTTTGAGCACACAGCATGAAACTTTGAGTGTGTCCTGTCTCTTCTGGCACTACGCCAGGACATCAGAATCCCAGCAAATATGAGAAATCCTCTAAAAGAGTTGGTGTCAACGGCTTCCATAAAACCTTCATCATTTCTTGGCTCTCCAAGACTACTTTTGCCTGGGCAGAGCTGTTTATTACCTTATAGCAATCTTCAAGGACATCACTGAAAAAGCTCTTATCCCTTCTCATAAAACTGATCCAATGCAAAGAATCCATGTAAGGTTAATAACATTCATTACTGTATCTTTGGACCTCTGGCCTTGCAGATTTTTAGGTGGTTGGTTATCAATTGAACATTTCTCTCAGAGAAATTACCTAATTTTCTGTTTCTTGGTGCAGCAGCGCTTTCTAGCTTCTATCAAATAAGCAATCCATCTGCACAAACAGAACCATACACTTGAAAAGTCACTCCAACTCCAGCACTTCTGTACACATCTGAGGAAAATACTTTGCCCTCGCTAGCATAATACCTGAGATTTTCACTGTCTTTACTCTCTGTTTTTTATGACAGACCTGAGTCACCTGTTGGGAAGAATTCATGCACAGAAAACAGTACTGGATTGCTGCACAGGTTATTCTGCAAAGTGCCCAGGAGCTCAGCTTCTGCCCTCAAGCCCAAAGAAGTGTATTGGCCATGAAGTCCTAGGCACATGCTCCTCTGTTATTCCCAAAGATCCAGTTCTGCAGTTTAGATAGAGTCAGAGAGATTGTTCCTTTCATGTAATATTACATAGAAGAAATAGACTCATGGATTAGTGTGTGTGCTGGAAATGTATCTCCAAGTTAGTGGAGCAAAGCCTTTAGATCAATGCACTTTGATACCACTCCACAGGGATGGAGTAACTACTTGATCAAGACATTTTGTAGGTCCTAGATTAGACACTTCCTGGAGCCTCTTACCTCACTGAAATATGAACCTATACTTCCTATACACATCTACTTCCTATACATGTCTGGAGGAAAATTAATGGGAATTTGGTATTTTTAAAATCTGTCAGCTTTACAGACACAGCCAGGAATGGGAAATCATAGATGAATTCTAAAACTCTTCAGAAAAAGAGCAATGAGTAGCCATTGGAATAAAATTAAGACAGCAGCACATTAAGGCCTTCAGCCTTCATAAAGGTAGCTCCTCTTGCACTGCGCTCCAGCTTTTACAGTTAATTTTGTTCACCCACTCTTTGACACGTGACACATAAAAACATACATTCCAGTCGTACAGGCAATAACACTCTAGCATGAAGTTAAGAAAGAGCATTGTCCATTCTTTGTGAAGGCTGACTTTTAGCTAGCAGCATTATCTATCTAAGAGAAAAACATGGTTACCATGGCTTTATTGGAGTGGCCTCCTCCCTGGAACTCGATGGTTCCGAAGGCGTCCGTCGGGCTGAGCTGCGTGTGCTTGCTGATGGACCACTTCTCTGACTGGATGTCATTGCGAGCCAGCCTGGTTTCACTTTTCTCATTCTGAGTAACGGAGGCGCTTGGAGGCTGTCCAATGTGTTGGCCTGTCAGACGCCCACAGCAACACCTATGACATTAAACAAACAGAAAACCCGAGTCACGTGCGTGTATAAACTGGACAGGGAAAAAACTACAAAAAGAACCCAACCCCTTTTCAGGTCTGCTGATTCCTTTCCTGAAGCCTTTAGGTATGGAAGCACCAAAGTATATATATTACCTTTATTCCCTTGTGTCTTGTTTACTTTGGACTCCCCTGTATTTCAAAAAAATCATGCTTTGTTCTAAATATGTACCAAATGAAATTAAAGAATATCTCTTTTCTTCAAGTAACATCAGGACAAGTAATCAGCTTTTGCATGGATTTGTACAAATTTTAAATTGCTAGTTTAATGCATCTATTTGCTTTCAACAGTGTTGTGTCATGTATCCAATTTAGGTAAATATTCAGTGCACTGAATATTGAGCTAAGAAGATAAGGAAATTAAACACAGATGCTGATCTACCCTTGATTTATCTTTTTTTCTTATGAAATAAGTTTTGAAATGTAAACAAATTGTTCCCATAGGAATCCATCACTGCAGATGTAATTCAAACACCTTCTGAGTAAGTTTACAATACTAATACCATATCCATACTATGCATACATATATAGAGTCACTTTTTTTTTAACCAACTTTCATTTTTCATACAAGTAACATGCAATTACCTATGGGGGTCTTTGGTGCTGGGTATGATATGGACACATTCTCGCTTGTAAAATGCTCTTTCTATCCATGATTTCTGTGCCTAAAAAAGAGAAAGGAAATGCCTTGAGCTCTGGTTTTGTATTATATACAACCTTTAGTACAGCTGTAGAAAAATTTTAAACAGAAGAGGAAATTTCACTGACTCTTCAGATAAGCAGTGCATATTTTGTAGAGGGCAAACATTCCATTAGAAGTATGTTTCCCTTCTAGAGCTAAGCAACCAACACAAGGTTTTAATATTCTTTTCTTATTCACTAGCCAGATAACCTCTTTGCTATTACCATATTCTCCTAACAGAGGAAGAAATCTCTGGAGAAGAATGAACTCAAACTCTAAACCTTTCTGTATGGCAGAAAAAACCCTGCGCTTATTCACTAAAAACACCTCTGTTTCCATATCAGTGATACAACTAAGCCAGCTCTAATTAAAAAAACCTACAACTAGACCAACAAAATTACCTGAAACATTTTTACACTAGCACTGAGAGTACTGTTTAACGCAGAGGCAGAAACTACAGTTTCTATGTGGACACTTAAAAAAAAAAATCTGTTTTTGAAACAAAACACAGAAAATTTTAACATATTTAGTCAGATGATTAGCAGGTAGCCTCTAAAATAATAGCTGTGGTTGTTCATAACACTCAAGCTCTTCCATCACATATTCACAAAAAAGCAGGAAATTTCCTGCAACATAGTCTTAATTGTCAGATACAAAAGAAGTCCTTTCAAACAGAGAGATGGGTAGGAAAGAAAAAAGGGGAAAGAGAAGAAACAACACAAAACAAGAAAGGAGAGAATTTCAGAGCTCTGAAATATTTTTAATTATCTAGGAAATCCTCACTACATATAATATGAGTTCCGGCAAGCTCTCTAAAACACTCACACACATAGAACTTAATAAGACAATTGAAGCTTTCCTTTGAAAATTCATTTAAAACAAATTCACTTAATACATTTAAATAATAAAATTACCCACTTAACTACACAGCATAAACAGAACTATAAACTATGGACTATGAAAAAATTATCTGAGAATTAAGTAATGTTATGAGCATTTTTCCTCTATGAAAGGACAACTTTTGAAATTGCCTTTGTAACTAACTGATGTTAGTTTTTACTATACAATGATATAAAGGTAATACCTACATATTACTTTAACTAACTAATCTTACATCACTGTCTAATGTTATCTTCTTGTCTACTCAATCTGTATCCTGTTTTCCATGTTTAAAACCAGAACCCTCTGCTTCTGAAAAATGTGAAAATTACTGTGAAGTAAAGAAATTTCTTGGAGTTGGTGAATGTCACTAGCACAAACTATAAAATAACATCACAAGAATTTCTAGCTATGTCTACCACTTACCAGTCCCAGTATACAGAATTTATTCTTCTGCTTTTTACAGAGAAAATAATTCCTTGCTGGATCTAGTGGTTACAGGTGCTATTTAGCAATATTTTATCTTTAGTGTCCATACATTTTTATTTGAAAAATCTGCTGGACTTAAAATCTTGTAGGAATAGCATATACCTAGGCTTACTTTCACAGTCAGGAAAAAAACCCCAAACTTAAATAAAACTGTATTTTACTGGGCAAGATATATTTTGTTTGAACAAAGTATAGTTAAATAGAAATTCTGAAAGCTAAAAGAGTTATACTTCACCTAAGAGAGACTACCTTGAGATTTAATTTATCATAACTTCTAAATATCCTTTTTAAAATATATTACTGTTTTCATCCTTTTCTGCGAACAATTTGCCATGGTGAATTTCCTGGCTACATAGAAGTAATGTGTCTTTTCTAAAGGTGGTCACTAGCTAAATTTATCTTAAGTTCCAGTATGAAAAGGTGCCATAACAGGTACTTCACTGAAATTTTTTCACTAGATATAAAAGCAATATTTCAAAATGCAAGAAATTTACATTTAAAATTTATTTTCCTACTCTTTCTCCTTTTTTTTTTTTTTTTTTTTGCAAGTGGAAAAGAAACACAGCTACATTTAAAAAAAAGTTAGTAACAAAAATAATAATTTGTGTTGGAATTTTCGTCATGCTTCTTCAAAGGTAATATTGTAAAAATAACAGTCAGGTTTAAAATATTTATTCACATCAGAAAAAGATACTTTCCAGCTTTTGGATCTCAGACAATGTACTCTCCTATCCAGCAGAGTTGTGATGACAAAATATGTAATTTACTAATCTCATAATTTCTTGTCCTTCCAAATTTAAAAGAAAGCATCTGGTTGCACTGCCCCATGCCAGTTATCCTTCTGCAACTGATAGAATTTGCAATGAACTATAAACCTCAGAGATATAATAAATTATACTACTTGCTGTAGAGTCTTCCTAACAGAATAACTTCAGGAAATCAACATATTAATAACTATACTGTCTGCACAAAATTCTCACTTATAATGCAAATTAGTAAAGTAATAAAAAGTTTAGAAGACTATAGCAAAGTATTTTCAAGACTAATAGAGCAAGAAGCTTATCTTCTGTTTCTCTCCAAAGACTCCTTCAGTAATGGTTAATGAGACAATTTAAAGTCCACAGTGAATTCATAAAGTACATGCCATACTTGAATTCGGGTTATTCATTGTTTAACTCTCCAGGTGCGTCTCTCTTTTCATTAACCTCGCTGCAAAATCTCACCAAGAACATTTTGTTTCTCTTTCCTTTACCTGGGTATCATTTCCTTGGCGTTTGAGGCTGTCCCGCAGCAAGCCCTGCTAGCCGGTTTCGCCGCGCCCGGTCGCTGTTTCTGGCCCTGGGCATGGCGAGCACAGGCAGAGCCAGCAGAGCCCTTGCACCCATTAGCTGCCTGGAATGTGCTGCTCTGGGATTAGCCTTGTTAAGGGTTCACTGGGCACTCACCCATGGCCCCACAACACTGCTTGGTTTGAACATCTAATCTGACACCAAAAGAAAAACAAATCCCTTGAGAGCTTGGATTTAACTGGCACAAGCCTTGATGGGGTTTTTGTCTCCTCTCTTCTTTGCCCCCTGAGAAAGCGAGCTGGTCAAAGTGTGATAAGATGCTTGGAGTGCTTAAGTTTGACTCAGGAAAACCAATCCATCAAAAGAAACACTGTACTAAACTGGAAAGAGCTTGAGAACACAGGAGAAACTGTTAAGCTCCAAAGAATGAAAGCAGTGTATTTATTGGGCAACTGTGAGAAATCTATACAAAGTTGAAATATATTGCAAATAATCAACAATAGCATTTTCCTAAAGAAACTGGGGGTTTGTCTCCGTTTCCCACCAAAACTGCTGTACTGTAGTGCATATAACTTTTCATAAACACAAACCTTTGTCCCACAGAAAAAAGCAGCTGCATTGTTTTCATCATAATTAAAAGCTGGTAACTTTAACCAAAAGTTGAATATTAACAAATCTGGGGACTACTTCTTTGCTGTGCCCTCTTGATATTAACACAGATGAACAACTTTTTCACATGAACATCTTAATTTTTATTTTAGTACCTAGCAATAACATAGCTTTAGTTACTTACTTAAAAGTTTTTGACACATAAAGTATTTTGACTCTTAACCCCCACCACTATATTTACATTAGCTCATACATATGCCTACATCCCTTCCTTTCCTTATCATTAATGTGCATGAAAAATATTCTGTCCACCCTTGGTAATGAAGAATACATAAGCTCAAAACTGTTCTGCATGTCCATTAGATCTGATGGGCCCAGAATGGGCGAGGCTGAGAATATGCATCAACTTTTAAACTTCTTACGCTATCACACATGTGGAGAGCTTCTGCTAGGCTGGCTAATCCACGAGATTGCTTTTGTCTCTTGGTTTCCTAAGTTTTTGAGTTAAATGCATACATGTGTTTTGTAAATATTAATGTATATATTAAGAATGTACACACACACATACACATACACACACACATACACACACACATACACACACACACACACACAAAAACACACATTCTTTTCCAGCAAACCTGTGAGGTTTCTGCTTATCTTGTCAGATCTCTTAAACACAGGATTGGACCAAAGATGTCTGTGGATATTGATGAAGGTGAAGTTGGAGCCAGGAAAGCAGCTAGTAAACAGTTCATTGAGGTAAAAAATATGATGGGGAGTCAGCAGGTAAAGACAGCTTGCTTTTTAACACTAGGGAATTTGGTTTGGTTAAGAGGATGGAGAAAGAGTGAGGCAAAGAAAGGAAATATCTAATGACTGAGACAACTGGTTAAGAATCTCCATTGACTCTGAAGTGAAACTTCAGTATTTAAACCTGACAAAATATGGAGATTGATCCTGGATTCAGGTTTCAGCTTGCAGAGTAACATGGGGCAAAAGCCACATCTTTTGTCTTAAGAACAATGGTTATATTAATTCCTACCGTGGCACTAGGACATTTTATAGGTAGGGACTTCAGAGTTGGCATAAACAACTCATGCTAAGGTAATTACAACTGTCTTTGCTTATTTAAAGATGCATGAACTTAGGACTGTGTGGCAATGAAACCACCAGCACCATACTTATTTCTGTTTTCTGAGGTGTAATAAAGAAAGAGCCAGTACACAGAGACAGGTATTTGTTTCAATATTGTACAACTGCAAAATAGTGCTTTCAGAGTGGATGCTGCCCATTTAATGATAAAATCTTCCACTCACCTCACTGTTTACGAAACAAAATATTAAATTAGCAATTAGCAATGAACTCAGTCCTGGCTGCTCATGGGAGGTGAGGGCAAATACTTAAAGAAGTTTCATTGGGGAAAGAGAAGTGTTTGAAGCCTTTCTCTACTTTACGGAGGAAAGAGAAGCTGGACGGGCAATGGAGTATTACTGAAGCATATTACGGAGAGGATCAGAGGAGGATATGGTGACAGAGCAGCATCAATGCTATTGCAAACTGATGTGATTAGTATTCCTTAACCAAATGGGAAAATTCCACTGTCTCTGAATAACAACCCTATACCTGTAAATTTCTGTATCTGTATTAGTACGAAGGAGGGCAATGCTTCAGCTTAACCTTATTACAAGGTGTGCTTGGGACAAATTTCTAAGCC